TATATATATATATATAATTGTAACATTAACATCTTAATAGCAAATGTTAAATATATATTTAGATGCTCATATGAACTTCTTTAAGTTTATTTTTGCATTACTTGCTCTTTAATATTATTCAATTTCTTTTCTTATTTTATTTAAATTTACAAAATACTTAACAAATTCTCTTTAATTACTTATGAAGGACAATTATGACTGATAAGTGATTCAAATGAGATCAAATTTGCCGAGTCACCTCATCTGAGACGTGAATCAGCTACATAATGTGATGAATGCAAGTCATTAGTCATTTGCATTAAAGGTTTGGTTGATTAAGGAGTCGTCACGTACTTTTCTTATTCACTATAAATAAAACAAATGCTTTAACTTAAGACCGCCCAAACTTTGAAAGCACCTTTAAAGACTTGTAAAGACCAAATATTCATCATTTAGTCATCGTTAAAATAGTTTGAAATAAATGCATTAACACCTTTCAAATGCAACAAAATTTGCAATTCCATTATACCGGTGCTCTAAGAAATGTGCACAACATTTTGAGATTGCTGTGCGGATTGGCCTAAAATTAATCAGATTGCCCTCCTGTGCTCTGAACTGCATAATAAATGCTCAGATCACTTAAATTGAGATTGCTACCGAGTTAACATTAAAAAAAATACAAAAAAAAATATTTGATTAAGTATTTGGAAATTAAAAATAAGATATTAAGACAATTTGAATTTGTTTTTCAATAAATAAAGATTTAGTCTTCCATCATTATTAATAACAACCTAAAGATTATATGGAATGGTAGATATAAAAAGCACAAAAAAAAAGAAAAGAAAACGAGGATAATAATTTTTCTTCATAAAAAATTACAAAAAAGAAGGTAGATCATCATCATTTCATTCAAACGACCAAGAAAGAAACTTAACATTTTGTGACTCCACAAATGCATTAATTATGTGGTTGACTGGAATTCCACTCGTTTTGTAATTAATTGTGTTTCAAGTACTATGTATGCAGTTATTCCCTCTTTTTATAAATTAAAGAAGGCAGAGGGGGCGAAGTAGCTATCTTTTTCCTGTTAGAACCTTAGTTTCCTGGCATCTATCATAGTTATTCAATGGTGGAAATTATTAGTGTTAACAGACTCTTAATTATTCTCTTCTCTGTTTGTTTATCTTCCAAACAATTGTTAGCAATTGGAAGAAGTCATACAGACTATGAATCACTCGTTGCGTTCAAGAATCAAGTTCTAAAGCAAAGCAATGTGGATTCTTTCATCATTTTCGCAAGCTCATGGAATGCCACCAACCACTTTTGCTCATGGGAAGGGGTCACGTGCAGCTACAAACACCGCTACAGAGTCACGGCCTTGGATCTCCATTCTGTCGGGTTGGTCGGCCCTCTTCCTCCTTCCATATTCAATCTCACCTTCTTGAGAAGGCTTGATCTCAGCGACAACAAACTCTATGGTGAGATCCCTTCAATTCTAGCTTGCTTACCACGACTACAAAATCTTAACTTGAGCTTTAACTCCTTTGATGGAGACATTCATGCTATTCTGACAATGAACCATAGCTCTGTTCTCCAAGTTTTGGACCTTGCCAACAACCATATGATCACAGGAAAAATTCCCCCTACTATCAGCTACATGTCGCCACTCAAATTCCTCAGACTCTCGAAAAACAACATCATTGGCACCATCCCACCTTCACTTACCAATCTATCCTTCTTGGAAGCTTTTTATGTCGCATATAACCATCTAGAGGGAGGCATCCCACCAGTGATTGGTGTTCTTCATAACTTAAAATTTCTCAGTGTGTCTGATAATAAACTTTCAGGTAACATTCCTTCTTCCTTCTACAACCTATCATCACTACGTAACTTTTCGATGACAAATAATCACCTCTCTGGTTACATTTCAGGTAATATTGCCCAATCTTTTCCAAACCTTGTATCCCTTTCTTTTGCTGTAAACAGTTTCATTGGTTCACTTGATCAAGCTCTTCGAAATGTGACCAGCTTAGTCCACTTGGACATTAGCCAAAATAATTTCACAGGAGTGGTGCCACCAGGCCTTGGAAAAATGTATAATCTTATACGCCTCAATATGGAATTTAACCAACTTGATGCAAATGATGCAAAGGAATGGAGATTTCTTGATTCACTAACTAATTGCACCAGCTTAAAAATTTTAGGCCTTCGTAGTAATAACTTTCATGGAATACTTCCAAAATCATTTGGGAACCTCTCCATTGAGCTTCAACTAATAACATTAGGATGGAATCACATTTTAGGAAGACTCCCCTTTGAACTTGATAGGTACACCAATCTAATTGCTTTAGGGATGGAGAGCAATCTCTTGGAAGGTTCTATACCCGAGACCATTGGAATGCTTGGAAGGCTACAAAGTTTATCTTTTTTTGAGAATGATCTTACGGGAATTATTCCTCACTCCTTAGAAAATCTCACAAGACTTAGCATGCTAAATTTAGGATCTAATGAATTAACAGGCCATATACCTTCTAGCCTAAAAAATCTTCAGCATCTTTCTTATTTGGATCTCAGTCAAAATAATCTAACAGGCAGCATTCCGAGAGAAATTTTTTTCATTCCTTCATTTTCACTTGCTTTGTATCTGTCTTATAACTTTTTCACTGGGTCTCTACCAGTAGAGGTTGGTCTTCTAATAAATCTCGTCTCCCTTGATTTTTCTAATAATAATTTGAGTGGAGAAATTCCAAAAACACTTGGAAGCTGTCAATCGTTGCTTGAATTAAATATGGGATACAACTTCTTCCAAGGCCCCATCCCTATTTCACTAAGTAGTTTGACGAGTCTTGAAATACTAGACCTTTCACATAATAATTTATCAGGTGTTATTCCTCAATTTCTACAAAATTTTACATTTCTTATGAACTTGAATCTATCATTCAATAATCTTGAAGGTGAGGTGCCATATGAAGGTGTCTTTTCAAATTCCTCAGAAATATCTCTCGTCGGAAATGAAAAACTATGCGGTGGAATTCTAACACTTCATTTGCCAAAATGTGTTGTCAAATCATCGTCAACAAAATCTCATCATTTAATCAAAATTTTATTCTCTATTCTTAACATTGTAGTTATGTTATTCATCCTTTTGTTGTGCTATACTTTGCTTTATAGAAGAAAAAGAAAAAATGATTTAAGAAATGCATCTGGTTTATCTTTAAGCCCTCCATATCCAAAAATTTCCTATGCAAAATTAGTTGAAGCTACAAATGCTTTCTCCACTACGCACCTAGTAGGATGTGGAAGATATGGCTCTGTTTATGCAGGCAACTTAAGAGAATATGATGTTATTGTGGCTATTAAAGTATTTAACCTTGAGGTTCATGGAGCTTTGAGGAGTTTTACAGATGAATGTGATGCACTAAGAAGCATACGACATCGTAATCTTGTACGAGTCCTAAGTTCCTGCTCGAGCATTGATATTCAAGGCAATGAATTTAAAGCTTTGATCTTCGAATTCATGTCAAATGGAAACTTAGACACGTGGCTACACCAAGAACATAAGATTGACGAAGATGATGTTCTCTCTTTGGTAAAAAGATTAAGTATTGCTATCGATGTCGCAGAAGCTTTGGAGTATCTTCACCATAGCTGTGAACCACCAATCATTCACTGTGACATAAAGCCAAGTAACATTCTACTTGACGAAAACATTACTGCACATGTGGGTGATTTTGGACTTTCAAGAATGTTTGATGAGAATTTGAATATATCTCGTCAAGATTATTCCAGCCAAAGTGGCATTAAAGGAACTATTGGCTATATTGCCCCAGGTGATGTGATGATTCTTCTTCTCAATGTTAGAATTAATCATGTCTTTTCCTCTCAAAATTTATGTTATTTTAAGGACATATTTTCTCAAAACATATATTTATGTTTTATCTACAGAGTATGGTGAAGTAGCTCCCTTGTCTCCATCTGCAGATGTTTATAGTTTTGGAATAGTATTACTAGAGATGCTTACTGGAAGAAGGCCTACCGATGACGTTAGTGATAACTTAACTCTACATAATCACATTAAAATGATATTGCCTCATGGAATTAATTACATAGTAGATCTTAAAATGTTCACAAAAGAGCAGAGAGATGATAGTGAAGGGGGTGGAGAACAACCAAGATGGTTTAGTTGCCAAAGCACCAACAAATGCTTGCTTTCCCTGATAAAATTAGGTCTCTCTTGCTCAGTTTCATCTCCAAAAGAAAGGCCTTCCATGAAAGATGTTACTGCAAAATTACATGCAATTCGTGTTTCTTACGTTCCTTCAATGTGATGAAAATGATATGTTCTTGAAGAAAAGCTAGTAATTGGAAGCAATAACTTTTAGTTGTTTATGTTTTCAATATTACTTTCAATATGTGATGAAAAATATCCTGGATAGACTAGCTTGATTTATCAATGTCTTGCAATTTCTTTTTATTAAAAACTTTCAAATATTGCCTTCAACTATTATAAAAAAATATCTACAATGAACTTGGATTTTTTAAAAAATATATATTTTCCTTTTAAAAATAATAATAATTTGTAAATAACTTTTAAAAAAATTATATCCTAGATATTTCTTTTTAATAATTTAAGGCAATTTTTCAATTAAACTAAAAACAAAATAGTTTAAAAATTTTTAGTCTCAAATTATTTGATATTCGTTGGGGAAATGTGTGAAATAAATTTTGAGTTTAAAATAAATTCAATTGCTTGAAGAAGAAACAATTTTCTTTATTACAAATTCATGAAGGAATGCATGGATTTTTTCCCTCCCTTTCTTACTAGATAGATCATTAATTTCGTTTACATAGGGAAATTTACATACATGCCACAAAATACTTAATTATTTACATATCTAATACCCAAATCTTGATAGTTATAGTTATGACCTATTGATGCTTCCACATGCTAGCATTTTTGTGCTATAAACTTATACCAGAAAAGGTGTATTTCACTTTTAAAAAGATATTGGTTGTGATATTTTTAATATGATACGGTCTTTCACCCCCTACCCGTATGACAAAATTAGGCCTTGGAAGCATATTGTAGAAACTAAGAGTTGATCTGGTTATTTCATAGATCTTGATTGCCGATGAGTTGTTATCCATTTAGAATGTGAGAGACTCATTCTCTGTCTTGTGACTTAGTGAGAGCTTTAAAAGCATCGAAATACTCTTGTAAGATAACAATCCCTTATTACACCATTTACTAGTCGTCACTTAAGTGTAAGCAGGATTCCTTTAATCAAGAATATTTTTAGGCATCCCCCAAAATGCAATTTACCAAAGGGATACGCTTCTTTGGGACTTGCTCGTGACCCGAAAACAAACACTGACACTGGACTCTCTAGTTGTGGGTTTCTTTTGTAAGATCTTCCTTGTGGATCAGTTACAATGCATTTTCAATATGATCACGTTTTGGATGTATGCTCTTGGTCTATCACGCAAAGTTTGCTTTAAGAAGTTCTCCACGTTCTTTGTGGATATGTTACAATTTTACGAGCCTTGTGTATTGTGCATTAGCAAAATTAACTTCACAGGAGTGGTGCCATCATATTTTGGAAGTCCTTGATATTGACTGTAATAAGCTTGAAGCAAGTGATACGCAAGAGTGGAGAATTCTTGATTCATTAACTAATTGCACCAAAGTAGAATTTTTGTACACCTCTCTTATGAACTTCAAATAATCTCTCTAGGATCTAATTATATTTCTGAAAGAATCCTTGAACTCAACAGGTACAAAAATTTATTTGGATTAGGAATGGAGAGAAATTATTTGAAAACTTGAAAAATTATGAACACTAGACTTCTCACATATTAATTTATCTTGGACTATTCCTCAAACTCTATAAAGCCTTACCCAGCAGAAGAGCTTGAATCTATTATTTAATAATCTTGAAGGTGAGGTGTCATACAAGGACATCTTTGTAAATTCTTTTGCAATCTATCTCATTGCAAATAAGAAAATATGTGAAAAAATATCAAAGCTTCATTTGCAAAAAAGTGTTCCCGGATCATCACAACAACAAAAAAAAAGATCATTTAATCAAAAGTTTTAACCCCAATATTAGTCGCACAATTACTCCTTTTGTTGTGCTTCAATTTACTCTATAGAAAGCAAAAGCAAAGTGGTTGAAGCAAAAATATATCAGATTCTTCCTTAAGCACTTCATTTTCAAAGATTTCATATGCTAAACTAGCTAAAGCTACAGATCGTTTCTCTACTTCGTCTCTTGTTGGATGTGAAAGATACGGTTTAGTTTAAAACCTTGAACTGCATGGAGCTTTTAAGAGTTTGACATCTGAATGTGTTGCTCTAAAAATCATACAACATCGCGGAGTTCTAACCTCATGCTCTAGCATTGATCACAAAAGCAAACATTTTAAAGCACTTTTTTTGAATTTGTGCCGAACTAAGAATATGAGACTAATGGAGATGATATTTTTTCTCTAGAAAAGAGATTGAACATTATCATCGATCGACGCTGTAGACGCTTTAGAGTATTTTTATCATAGTTGTGAAGCATCAATCATTCATTGTGATATAAAGCCACATATAATCCTACTTGACGATAACATGGTTGCTCACCTATCAGATTTGGACTATCAGGAATATTTTCTAAGCCTTTGAGTTCATCAGTTCGAAATTATTCCAACACAAATGAGATTAAAGGAATTATTGGATATACTGCCTCAGATGGTGTGTTGAATCCCCTAGTTTATGTTATATAATTCTGTCATCATTTTCAATGTATTATAGCAAATTTAAGTGATGATTATCTAAAAAAAAATTTCATTTTATTTGTAAAATATGGAGAAGGAGCTTGCCAATTTACCTCTACAGATGTTTATAGTTTTGGAATAATAATATTAGAGATACTTACTAGAAGAAGACCTACCGATAGTATTTTTAACTATAACTTAAAAGTATATAAACACGTTAAAATAGCATTTTCACATAAAATCAATAGCATCATTGGTCTCAAAAAAGCAAAACATCAACAGTGTTTGCTTTCCTTGGCAGAATTAGGTCTATTATGTTGTGCTTCATTACCATAGGAAAGGCTTTACATGAGAGATGTTGCTAAAAAGTACATACAATTAGAGCTTCTTACCTTCAACCTGACTAAAGCAGAGGGTTATTGACCAAAGGAAAATATGTTGAGATTTTTATACCTATTTTACACTGATTTTGATGATATTGCACTTTAAAGAAGGGTATTTTTGATGTTTTGTTGCAGGTATGATGAATTATGGACTTTTGGAGAAAAAGAATAAAACGGTGCAATTTACAAAAATGGTGCAATTTGGAGTAAAAATGAGCAAGAAAGAAAATTCTGACTTGACAGATTTTAATATGTTTTTCTATGTTTAATATACTTTACATTTCTTGCATATTTTTGAATAAAATTACACTTTAAAGGAACAATTACACTTTAAATGAAGGTTGTTTTCATGCTTATTTTTTAGGGTTATCTGTTAGGAACACGACGCAACTGAAATGGGGTGAAACGGAGCTAAAACGGAGCCAAACTGAGCAAAACGGTGGAGCTGCGCAATCTGCTGGCCGACGGCGCCCAAAACTGCGCCGACGGCGAGATTTGCCCGAGAAGACCAAAAAATGACAGAAAAGCTCGCCGACAGCGCCCTTGAGCCCGCCGTCGACGCCCGGGACAACTATGGACCGACTTTTGGCGGTTATGAGCCTAGATTCAACGTATTTGGACGCTTTTTGAAAGGATTCTTGTGGCAACTCTTCAAACTTCGTCCCTACACTTTAAAAGAACGAATTTAGGTTAGAAAAAGTGGGTTTTTTGTGAGAGAAATGTTAGGAAAAGTGTGGAGAAAGTTTAGGGTTTTTAGAATAGGAGTAGTATTGTAGATTTCTACCTTTTTGAGAGATTGGAGATGAGATTTTGAGAGAATTTGTAAGGAGATGTGCTAGGATTGCATGGATCGGCGGGAGACTTTGTGGGAGAGATATTTGTCTTTCTTTCAAAGGGAAAAAGATAAGTATTATGTTCTTCATTATCTTTTAATTTTTGTAAACACATATCTAGTGGATTTGTTTTGGCTAAATGAAATTTTCGTTGTGTTTTTTTCGTGCTTTGTGATGGGCTTATCTTACTCTCTCTTCTTGTTTAGAAATAATGGTATGAGAAGATTATGTCCTTGTTTTCATTTTACTTTTCTTTTGTAATGAGTAGAATTCATGTTTAAAATTTTGTGATGCATGTTAGAAGCGGATTTAATTATCAATGTAATGGTTTTTACTTGCACTTTATTTACATTACAATAAAGTTCTGTTGTAGTGTTAAAATTCGTTATAATTACATTAAGACCCGAGAGGGCTGTGTAATTCTCAACAGAGTATAACCACATTCAGATTCCATGGATGGTTAAGTTCATGGGAGTTGAACGCAAATAAATAGGGAAATATACTTTAATGGGCGTAGAATTGAAGATTTTAGGGTGACAGACTAAAATCCTCAATTCGGTCCTATTGTTTGAGCACTGAAGCGGATATGTTAGTCCTCAGGCGAGGGGAACGTGGGAGCTCCGAAGTGAGAGTCAATATCCTCCCAGCCTAGCCACGATTCAGTAAACAAACATAGGATTAGTCAATGTTCTTTATGTCTGGACCAAATGGTAAAGAATAAGATTGTTCTTATTTAGCATATACAATATTTAATGCATCTCATTCTTTTACATTATCAAATTCATTATATAATAATAGTAATTTTTAATATCTCAAAATTCTCCAAACAAATTCATCTAAAAAGTGTTATCTATAGAATTAATATTTGCATTTAGTTATAGTCAATATCTTTACATTTAACACTTGCATTTAGGAGTAATTGATAGATAAAACAACATTTTAATCGACATTCCAAACTAAGGAGTAATTGTAGTAGACTAGAATTTGACTAAGGACCTCTTATTTCGCTTCCCTGTGAGATCGATAAACGGGACTCCACTAAAACCCTGTATTACTTGAGCGATACATA